AACTTTATATCCCAACTGGCTATGAGTTGGGCTATCCTTCCTGAGTTAGGAACACTAGAAATATGGCTAAACCTAAACTGATCAATTTGCCTATTAAAATTTTCGTGATTAGTATGGTCACGGGCCCAAAGAGGAGTTGAATTGACTGTGTCGATCTGGTCTAGGCGTATTCAGATTCTGCCCAGTATTTACGGTAGCTGCTGGTTGTGGTACCGCAGCTTGAGCTATTATATTCGGAACGGCATTCAGGTTCAATCTACCCAACGCATTTGCTAATGTTTGCTCCAAATTCTCGAACATTGTTGCCTGCCTTGCCGAAATGACTGCCCCAACAAGATTTCGTAGACGGGCCTCTTCATCGATGTTATTCGTATTAGGGTTTACATTGGAGTTCTGTTCTCGAACTGGTGATTCTAATGGCAAACAGGTGGCTCCTGCTATACCCGAGTTATCCTTTTGTAAATTTGTTAAAGGCTGGGGGTTATCGCTAGTAGTCTTAGATGTAATCTGTGCTCTAGTTAGACGACCAGAGCGAGGAAGGTCTCTACTGTTGCATCTAGCTCTACACTGGGGACATGTGGAGCTGTGCTTTAACCAGTCCAATAAACATATTCGGTGAAACTGGTGCGAGCAAGCGGTCTTCAAGGTATCGTCACCTTCGAAGAATTCGTTACGACTTATTGTGCAACCACTTGCTTGAGCCTGATCATCTTTACTTTGTGAAAGTGGCATTGTTACGTTGCAAGAAATGTTTGTTTGAGGAAAAAAATAATGAATGAATGATAGCCCCAGAACTGTAAGCAACTAGTGACTGAAACCCACTAAGCAACTATGTATGTATAAAAGTCTCAACAATAAAGCAGGGGACTGTTATTCAAAAGAAAAAACTTGATAAGATAAAAACTTTGTCAACTTCAGCAAGAGTACTTTAACCGGCAAAGAAAATTTTATTTTCAATTCATATCTACATATGTATAGTCCTTAGTATGCATATACCCGCAGACCATGTGGAATTCCGATTTACTTAGTTTATTGAATACAAATCGCAAAAATTCTGAAAAAAACCGCTAGCCTTTATCAACCAAGTGTTCACTACACATCAACTCACTAAAACTCTCAACGATAGATAAAAAAAATCATGTAAAAGATGCGGTCTGACCCTCTGGTCGGGAGGAAGTCTGTGTTGGTATAAAGATCCTAGTATAGGGGTACGCAAGCCCAACCGGGTATTCGGTATTAATGAAAATAAGTCAACGGGAACCGGTACAGTAAATTCATGGACTGCAAGTTCCGGTTATCCCATAAATGAAAAAAAAAATCAAGACAACAAAAATCTTAATTTGAAAAACTTCTCGAAGTGGAGACAGAGAATGTAAGCTAATTTTCAGTTTCTTTTTGGTTCATCAACCGTGCGTCAACGCTAATTGGTATGCTTGGTGACATATAGCCCGTCCCAAATCACAATTCCTGATGAGCCAGGAGCGAACAGCGAACTACAACCAAACTGAAAATCGAAGGTATTATCTGCTAATTAGTTCTCGTTATACACTGCTTTATGCGGTCAAGCTTTAAAGCATCTAGCCTTTAAAACTGAATTCCTGCAACAAGATTTGTATACAACTTAACCATAACGCAACGATAAAATTCACTAGCAACATTTAGGTATTGAGTAAACTAGTTGGAAGCGTATGCATTAAGCTTTCAGCTTTCAAATTCTAAAATTTACTATTTAAATTACTGTCAATAATTAATCAAATAAACCAGACCAGACGGACAAAACTGTTCCAAGAGGGAATAAAATCACGGGACCACTATCGTTGGGCTACTCATAAGTACGCCATTTAATCTGTTACGAGCCTACGTTAGGGTGATATAGAAGGGCTCGTTGGTGCCCTACTGCCGAGGCGTGTGCATTTGCATATATCCCGTAGCTTCAGCTTCGTGGGCTCAAAAAAAAAACACAGCCGCAGGGCCGAACTACCTTCTCCCTAACCGATAGCCTAACAAGATTATTTACCTTGCACACTGGAATCTACCTACAACCTTCCATATACCACTGTCGCACCTGCACACCTACCTGCCTAGCAGCACATCGAGAGACGTTTGTTGGTTGCTCCATTGCCCACCATTTCCTTTGGCGACCGGCGGTATGTAAAGACCGAACAAAAGTTATTA